CAAACTTTTTTAAATGATATTGTGGAGAATTTGTAAAGCTATGAATCGAACTCACAAGGATTTTCATGACGGTCGAGAGGTGATGGTTCAACAAAGTCAACTGAGATGACAAGGATCTTGTAGGAATGATTGTGAGGCTGATCCTTCACAAAATGTGAGTGGTACATCTCAAACACACACACACACATACACACAAAACCAGACAATGAACTCGTGCAAACTCAACTTCCTGAAGGACGACGACGATCTTCTTGGATGACTGGAGCGAGACAAAGGAGACTGAGATGATTTCTAGGTTATGTGTTCTCTCTTACTTGTCATTGAGCCGTGGGAAAAATCTTGTGGATTGATTACAATTTAGAGCTATATTTGTTGTTTCATATATCTTAGAAGAGATTATGTAGGTTTGGCTAGTAAACTATCATTGAGCCGTGAAATTTCTGCTGATTTGTGTGTTTGTGATGATATTGTTGCTTTGAGAACTCATGTATCTATCAGGATGGGATTTGTGACATGGAATTTCAATTTGATATTTTATGACGTGACTCTGGTCGCTTTAGTTCAGGCAGAGGGTTATGAGAACAATGAGACAGGACCAAAAAAAAAAGGTATCGGCATGAGATTATTCTTTTTCGCTCTTAAGTGATGCCTTTTTCATTTATTACTATTTTCTATGTGTTGACATCGTTGCCATTGAGAGTGAAATTAGCAAACAATGTGATAGACTTCCAAGAGGAGAGTATGCTTCAAAAGCACTTGGCCACAGCTTCACTGCATTTGCTCGAGATATAGTTGAGGTTGGTCAATGAAATATACATTTTCTGCTCAATACTGTAAGATGCTTATTGTTTGGGATAAGTTGAACTTTATCTATGGACAAATTTTAAAAAAATCCCCTTTTTTAAATTTAATAAGCAAAAACAACCGTTTAGAAAAATAATTAGCAAAACCGACCATTTTCCCCTGAAAAGGGTCGGTTTTGCCGAAGGGGAAGTTTTGCGAAGTGTACGGTCGGCGAGGGTGTCGCGGCTGTGCTGGATGCATGGAAGGCGGGTTGGCTGGCTGCGGGTGAACGGCGGCGACGATGAGAAAGGGGGACGCGGGTGGCTTGGGGCAGAGGCGCTGGAGCCTCAGGCGGCTTGGCTGTTTGAGGAGAGGGTGGAGTCTAACGTCGGGGAGACGGCGGGGGAGGGCACGGTCGTCGGAGCTTGGCGAGATGGTGCAGAGTTCGAGAAGGAGGGAGATGGGTGGCGCTGAGGTGGACTGGCGTTTGAGGGGGTGGCAGCGGGGGTATAGGGAGGAGAGGGAGGCGCGCAGAGAAGAGCTTGGGAAGAGAGAGGAGTTTGGGCGTGGGCGTGGGCGCGGAAGCCGATCGGCAGTGCGGGGTTGGTCGGCAGCTCAGGGAGAGCTGGCGGCGTCGATGGCAGGGAAGAGAGAGGCTTGGGAAGAAGAAGGGGAGATGGTCACGAGCAAAATGGGGGATTTGGTCGTGAGTTGGGAATTAAAATGAAGTGTACGGGACTACTAGTCCCGTACACTTCGCAACAACCAACTTACAGCAAAACCGACCCTTTTTAGGGGAAAATGGTCGGTTTTGCTAATTATTTTTCTTAACGGTCGTTTTTGCTTATTAAATTTAAAAAATGGGCTTTTTTAAAAAAATTGTCCTTTATCTATTTGTTCATTTTAGGTTGTCTCATTCTAAGAAGATGTATTCAGGATTGTGATAAGGAATTGCTCATGTATTTGTTTTGCTCTTGAATTTTGTATAGCAAATATTGCTCGTTCTTTTTTAGGTTGTCTCAAATGGTGGGTATTCTCACCCCACTTATGTTTGACAAATATTTCGTCTTATTTTGAGTGGTAAGCACAATAGCACATCATTGTGACCACACCATCGTTTCTTCTATTTTTTGGTTTGAACCAAACACTAGAAAATGAGGGAATCAAGTAATGCATAAACTACTTTCTTGTTTTTTAAATTTGAACCAAACTAAAGAAAGTGATAGAAAATAATTATTCCCCATGTTTCTTTACAAAACAAATACAAAAAAACACTCTTCCAAGAAAGTGAGGGAAACACCAAAAAGTAAAAGAAAATGAGTTTTGAAAAGTGAAGGAAAGTAACCAAACAACCCCTTACTCCGCCTCAACAAGCGGAATAGTAAACCCATCAAAATGATAGATTTTGACGGATTAAAGGCTTATCAACCACTTATCAGGGGTTTGTTAACCTCTTATCACCAAAATGGTGTTTGGGAGGCTAAGGAGGGATTAGCTCCCTTTAACTCCTCACTTAACCCTTTGCCAAATGTGGTCCAAGAGTTTAGAAATTCACTAAATGGGAATAACAATGTAAAGAGAGATTGGTGGTTTACCATTAGCCTTAAAATCAAAAGATTGTCATGTGGTCTTTCTTAATTTTTCTAAATCTTAAATTTCACTAAACCTCCAATAAGTTCAATCGCTTGATACTAAGCCCCAAAATTTTTTGAAACCCCTGCTAAATTTGAAAATTTTAGAAAACCTCCAATATATTTTGATGTTTTGCAGTTAACCCACATAATGATGTCACCCTATAATTGTACACCGATGAACGTTATCCTTCAAAGCCAATATATGTGTGCTTCTCAACACATTCCTATATGTAGATTAACCCATAAAATTATAAATAATTTTTTTAAAAATATAAAAATTGTGAACAAACCTATATGAATATGAAATTACAAATGACTCCCACAAAAAACTTAATAATTACAAACAAGCCTGTAAGGAATCTAAAATTCACAAATAGCGCCCTTTGAAATTAAAAATTGTAGACAACTCCCTACAAATTTATAAATTGCAAATAAAGTCTTGACAAAATGAAAATTACAAAAAAGCCCTTAAAGTTCTAAAATTTATAAACAACCTAAAAATTCTAAAATTATTTTAGATTTTTATAAATACCAGTACCCTAGTTAAGTTGGTTTCTTGTTTGGTATAATGAGTAATTTCTTTTAGCTAAACCATGGATAAACAGGGCAAGGTCGATCAGAAGACAATACGAATAAAAAAGGCAACAGATGAATGGAAAACAAAGCTTATATATCACTATAGCATTCGCAGCACAAACTCACTCTTCCCCAAATAACATCAAAAATGCTTGCATACATTGAAAGAAAAAAAATGATCATATAGATAGATTATTACAGTAGATCGAACATAATGAAAAGGCTCTCGAACTACCCAATTAGCCATGACTTAACAGGTAAATACAGAATGGCAAGACATTGAAATATTCTCCAACACTTTGCTAATCTCTCATAGCAAGTGTGACCACGTACAGAATCAAAAGAAACCCAAAACCGAACATCTCTGCTGCCTGTAAAATGAACTTATTGACAAGTGCAAACAACCCAACTGATTACTAAAGAAAATAAGAAAACTTGTCAAACTCAAAATTGGCTTGGATCGCAAACTCGTCATTGCGGCGGAGCGTAAAAAAAAGGCCCTGGAGCTAGCCAGTAACCATAAGGTGGAGGGCAATAGCCTACGGCTACTGGAGGATAACCATGCGGGGGCATAGAACTTGGACTCGGAAGCATAGCATAGCCAAACGGCACAGAACCTGGACCCCTAGAAACCCTGACAGGAGCCACACGATCATACGACGTCGTCGCAACATTCACGGACTCGTCTCTCGCATGCTCTTCCAACTCATATAATGCCCCAGCATGCGCTTCTTCGTTGAAATCGGCAAACCTTTTCTTCATCTCCCAGAAAACCATCGCCGTCAGCAGACTATCACGGCCGGCCTGACGAGAGGTCCCTTTCCAGTTGATCTCAAGCATCCTCGACAGCTTCAACAAGCCTGCTTCGGCGAAACGCGCATCACATTCTTTCGCCATGTATTTCACATCAAAAACCATCGCCCCAAATAGTTCCCGCACAAGGCCCAAGAAACCGTTCAGCGTCTCCGGCAGAGGCATCTTGTAGACGATCTTTATCAGGTACGCGAGGTCGTATAAACCGTGGAAAGTGACCCACCTCAGCCCTTCGCATCCTCTTATTAGTTTCTCCGTCAGCCCTTTCGAGAGAACGGCCGCACTCACCCCATCCTTGCCGTTCTTACAGAAATCAATGCCGTTCCTTTTCAGGAACTCGATGGAGTCCTTCGAACAGTTGTCTACTTCAGGATCGAAATCTTTCAAGTTGAATTGCCAGGTGAAAAAGCGCTTGCTGTCGGACAGCGTGATCCCTACCTGCACCAACTTCATCCTGTCGACGTTGTACTTGAGAGCGCTGTATGTGTCTTCTCTCGGGGCACGGTGAGGAGCCGGCTTAAGGAAGCCCGGGAACTCCGTGTCGACGAAGACGAAGTTGCACGACCTGCGGAGCTCTGATATGAGGTTGAGTTCTTCGTGCAGATTGTGGCGCCACACTTCTTGAAGAATCATGGCTTCCTTATCTCTGACATGCTGCAGGTTGAGTTCTTTTATCATGGCTTCTTTGTCCCGCCCTTTGTTTTTTCTTTTTCCTGGGCTTTTGGATTTTTCGGAGTTGGGAGATGAAGATTGTTGGTCTATATATAGGATAATTCCTATATATATATATA